CCGAGCGCCCAATGGACTGCGGGAAACCCGCCGGCGTCGCAACGCGACTCCGCTGGCAACAGCCGGCGGCCAATAGCGGCCCCGCGGCCAAGCCCCGCCCCCGAGCAGTCCTGACCCCACCCCTCGGGCCCTGCCCCGCCCCTCTTGGCTCCGCCCCCTCAAGCCCCGCCCTATCGAGCCCCGCCCCCATGGCCGCGGCCCCGCCCGCACAGCGCCGGGCTCAGCTCCGCCTCCTCCGGACACCGCGCCGGACACGGCGCCGGGCTCAGCCCCGCCTCCTCCGGACACCGCGCCGGACACGGCACCGGGCTCAGCCCCGCCTCCTCCGGACACCGCGCCGGACACGGCACCGGACACCGCGCCGGGCTCAGCGCCGCCTCCTCCGGCCCCGCTCCGGACACCGCGCCGCGGGCCCGCCCAACGCCGCACCCTGCGGCCGTGGGAAAGCCCCGGGGACAGCGAGTACCCCCTCCTGGCGCTCCCCGGGGCACCCACCCTGCCGGGAGTCGACCCCACCTTCTTCTGCAGTTGTGTCTGGAACAGAACTTTACACAAACGGTATGATTTGGCAATCTTTATATCCACAATACATCATAACCATGCACAAAAATCGAGTGATGTGTTTATTTACAAAGTGAATTGCACTTAACACAGGAACCCGGAAAATAAATGAAAGGAACCTCTCTTCTGGGTTGCATAAAGGCCCAGTAATATTTATAGCCTACAAAGCCTGATAGTSAACACTACCATGCATTATCTGACCAGTGTAAAACAGGAATTGCTGTTATTTATTGAAACAGTGCAGCCCTGGACATACTCATGCCATGGAAACATTCCATGAATCACCATCCCAATTACATTGACGAGTCTGCAAGTCAAGAGAAYGTACCCTTCAGCCCCCACTTACTTGAAGGACAGTTAGTCTTCACCTCCAGTTGTCTGACTTTCCTTAGCTGAAATTCAGGCCCCTACCTTTAACAGTTTTTCTAGGTTTTTAGGGAGGAAAAAGTCTTCCCTAAGTGACCGAGTCACTTCACTGGGATCTTCTTTGTACAGAGTCCAGAGCTTAAAAGCAAGTTCTTCCTTCATACTTAGAAGGGAAATGATCACCAAGTCTTGGTAAAACTCAGCCACAAACAGATCCCACCCACTCCTTCTGGAGCAATACAGMATACAGGGATCAAGCATCAGTGAGCAAAACTACCTCCTGTATATTTCTCCAACAGTTTTTGTTAAGTGACTGACTCAAAGGAAGGCACAGCCCAACCCTTACCACGCCCAGCTGAGAGCTCTGTGCTCAAACAAGAATCCCTTGTTTGAGGTCACAYGTGGGGGCATCTCTGGGATCCATCATCTTTCTACTGCCTCTAAACCTGCCACAGGGGCAAAAAGGCACCAAGGTGCCTTTCTTCTACCAAATCTTGATGGCCTCCATAGCACACCCTATAATCTGTTTAGCAGTAGCAAGCAGTCACCCATCAACTGAATTTTAACATTTATACAAGTACGGAGCGATAAAACTTTCCTACAAACCAAACTTCTTCATTCGGTGCAGGTTCTAGTGAAGATCCCAGACTAAGTCACCTGTTTGGGAGCACTGACTCTGCAGTAAAAGAGGTTGGATTGATCTGGGCTACCCAAGGAATTTATTGTGCCAATTAGCTGTTTGTGTGCTCAGGACCAAGCCACTTTCATGTGTGAATTTTGGCCCTCACCTTCCCCGTCAGTAACAGGAGAGGCARCAGTATAACTCCTGCCTAGTTCTGCATTAAAAGGACCTGTTCTGGACATCAGCAGGAGCTGCTGACTGATGTTTATGTTACTGACACAGGTGGGAGTACTCAGGGTTTTGTAGTGTTTTCAATAGTTGAAGTCAACCTCAACATCCAAGTAAAGCAAGCAGAGCACACATTCCTTCTTTCGCAGGCAGCTTTCCTGTTATCAGAAGTTTTACAAAAGCTCAATTCAGCCCTCAAATCCCTTGGGGCAGATGGAAGAGCTGGAATTTTTTCTTCTATTCTGACAGTAATACTGAGACACACAGCCAGCAAAGCTGTGGGATGGAGCAGTCCCTTTGAGTTTACATRTAGTCTGTAATTTCCACATCAGTAAAGCATGCTTTAAGGGGTTCTGTGCTACTGGTGAGCCGCTCTGAATGTCAGACAGCTCTTCAGCATTTTCATCTTCCTCAGGATTTCTCCAAGTCTTCCCCTCAGCAATTCCACCACAACAAGATTGGGGGCCGGGTTGTAGTTTTGCAGTTTCTAAGGAGTGCACAGTGTTTCATCAGGATATCAGGAACTCCAGATTAGAAGCATTTTCCCCAGTCTATGCACAGGAAGATGGCTTAACCTAGCAGAACAGGTCAGCTGTCCTTTTTCACTTGGCATGAACAACCCGGTGCTCAGTCTGGGCAAGAGCACCTCAGACACACAGGAGAGCTGCAGCTCTGCCTGGAGAGCAGCACAATGGCCTGGAGAAGAGCCTCATCTCATACTGAGGGAGCACAGCAGATAAAACCCCACTCAGTTCCCTGTGCTCACAGGAGCTACGTGGGTGCACATGTGCACACACACAAATCTCACATCCTGGGTGCCCCTAGCAAAGGGCAGGAGGCCTGTCCCTGTCACACAGCAGATCTCAAACACAATAGAATGGTCCAAGGTCTACTGGCACTGAGGGGGCTTTGGACAACACACAATGGAGYTGTGTAAGAGCTCTTCAATAGCCACAAATTTAACAGCATTTAAACCCTAGCCACTGACCTTTCACTGGGACTCAGCCGCAAAGTTTAGAGCCTTCCACAAAGTCAAAGACTAAAGAAAATCTCTTAAGAGGAGACAAGCAAGTGACTAAACTACTTCTCAGCTTCTTACACCAGGCCAGACTGATTCTAGAAACTTCATGTTAAGAACAGGACTTGCAGAGTAAGCATGTTAATACATCACCCTGAACYAGTAAGTCTTCTTAACAGTACAATTCCTCCTCATGCTGTCCAACTGATTTCTTTGTATAGTTTGTTCAAAAATTAAGGAGCCCAGCTCCACTAGTGTCCACTTGTTCTCATATGAAAATTTTTCAGTATTTCAGAATTTTCCATTCTCTGCCAGCTGTCTAAACACTGACTGCACATTACATTCTGGTCTTGGACCACCAAAAAGGAGACATCCCAGTTCCCCCCTTCTCTCAACAGAATGCTAGTGAAGTAAATACCAAGTGTTGAAAGTGCCTCCTGAACTGGAACACCCTTAGGACAGCACTATGATGCCTAAAGAGGAATTAATACCCTCATTCAATGGGATCAGGCTGCAAGAAGCATGCACCCCTTCACCTTGAATGTATCCTCTGAGCAAAGCTGAAGAGTGGCAGCGCCGGGCATCACATGCATCCTGTACTGAGCTGGAGCCCTCTCAGTGCATACAGTACAAAATTAAAGGCATTGGTCTGGAAATCTTAGAAAAGAAAAGCCATCAGAGTTAACCGCCCTTAATTTTATTATGTAACCAGACAGAACAGTTGAGACTGGAATGTCAGATTTCCCCTTCAAGCACAATTCACAGTTTYATATTTGCTTTGTATCAGTAAAGAAAAATCAACTCACTAATATGCAGCTGGGATTCATCCAGTGAGGTACAGGCTTAGAATACAGAGCAAAAACTCACTGCAAATGGCTCCAGGAGCCTTCAGGGAGCAGCAAATGGTCTCCAGCTCTTCCTTTAAATCATTTCACCCAGTATTTGCCATCAGAACATTCAGTGGATACCGGAGAGGATGCAAGTGTGCAARAGCTAGTGAGTGATGAAAAGCCATCAGATTTGCACAAGCAAGCAAGAGACTGACTACACAAAGTTGTGGTAACATTCTTCCCATTCAGCACAACAAAGAATTAGAGTAGTTAGCCCTGCTGATGACAAATCTGTTACATAAGTGAAGTACAATCATTTAAGAATTACAGTCTGCAGTTCAGTAAAACGGTAAGAGGAAAACAACATGTTAGTACTTATTATGTGAAATCCTAATATTATGCATTTTAGTAGAGGTCAATAGTGAAAGATCATGAAGAGAAAGTTCCAGATGCTATGGATCTGCAGAAGTTTTACAAAATGTATAAAGTATTGTGTTTCTCTACAACAATCAAAACCCTTACAAGTGCAGGTATATATGTGACATGAAAATATTGCTTCACTCACTCAAACAGGGGCAGGAGAGATCTAGAGAAAAAGCAGCATGCAAAAAAAAAACAACCCTGGAACTAGAGCAGATCCTGCTTTCAGACACTGACCTACAGTACAAAAGAAGCCTACTTGTACAGGTTGCAAAAGGTTTCTGAAATCAATACGCTGGCACTTACTGTACAATAATGTTAACTGATTAACATAAGCCATGAATAAATATTAAGCCACTTCATAAAGCCTGCAAAGGCATTTATGGTGGCAGAGAAAGCAATGCAGACATAYTTCATTGTTCCCAAATAAAACAAGAATAGAGAAAGATTTCCCAAGCAGGAAACAGTAAACTACACAGCCAGACTACCTGTATTAGGGGTAATTACAGAATAAGTAATGTTATTTTCAACAGCTTTCTTATGTGTGTGCAGCCACTAAAATCCTCACTGTGAGACTTCATCAGGACAGAAAACAGAGCATTTGGTAGGATAGCTAGTTTAATTTCTCCCCCATGTTTACAGAAACACAAGAAAAAAGATATCTGACTATGGGAGGAAAAACCTTGTCACCTAAATGTAGTTAATTCAACTGATAGAGTCAAGTCCCATTGTTCCCCTCCCAGAAAACAACAACAACAAAACCAAACTAAAAAGAAACCTAACAAACCAAAACAAACCCATTTGAGAAGAGTGTTTCATRGGATAATATCCAGCAGCAGATGTTCCAACACAAATATGTCTATCAGATCTGTGACTACATTTCAAGCCCAGAAGTCACCACATGGAAGGGGTTTCAGAGGCAGGGGGATGTTAGCCCTACAATTAAAGCTCTTATATGAGAGGGGAGATTTGGGAATGGAGTAAAGGAGGGAGRAGGGAGTCACTGAATCACAGGAGACAGAAGTGCACACAAGTTTCTAAATGAAGCACAGACGAAATGGAGGGCACAAGAGTCATCTACAGAAGGTCACAGGTTCTGACAGCACTGCAGTTTGTTGGATTTCTGTCCGTCGGTGGTTGGTGGGACACTGATGTCCACGACGTTGTTGCCAGGAGACTCATCGTGTGCAGACCGGTCGGCGATTTGCTTCTGCGACACGATGCGGTAGATTTCTGCAAGGAGAGCACACAGGTCAGAGCCCTGGGCACAGCCTCCCATGGGGCACAGCACGGACTACACTGTCCAACAACATGCCAGAACCCAAGCATGAGAAGATTTAACTTGATGGCTCTGAAGGGAATCTGGGCTGACCAGATGTGGCATGTAACATCTGGCTGGTGTTCCAGTTCCAGAATGAATATGCCAGCTCTGTTTGGAAAAGTCATTAAGACGAGAGTCCTCACCGTCTTCCACAAAAGCACTTCCTATCCCATTCTTTTTCAATGACTCCATCAAAATAAGGATTATTAAAAGGGATTATTAAAATATTTTAAATGGGAAAGAGGCAGGAATGCTCATTTCTAAAACAGGGAATCATCTTCTTTGTGATTAAAAAAAAATGGGCAGCATACTTGTCATGGTTTTACTTGGTCCGATTTTTTGGTGGTGGGGGGATGGGATCAAGAAACCACAAAGATAATAAAAAAATAAAAAAAAAAAATCAGGTTTTTAAACCCACGACAATACTCTAGAAACACCAATCACCAGGATGCTGGGAAAGGTCCTGCACAGCAGCAAGTTACCTGATCCCCACTCTGCTCCTGGCAAACCACCATCACCAAGTAACAGCAATGCTCCTCTCTGCAACAAATCAGTTTTCCCACCTATGACAGTAAAAAGCCACATGGSTCCATAAAGCCCCATGCTTCTCCAAATGAATTTATTTGACTCCAACTAACTTATGCTTCAAAGCACATGCATCCACAAAGCTGTAACTACTGAAGAGAGACAGAYAGCATAAAAGCTTTCAGAAACATACTGTTTCAACTGCATAGTTAGGAGTATTGTAAGTGGAAAGGTTTTTAAGTTACTTATTTCACYGATTATAAGCCCTGTTCCAACTTCCCTCTATTGTGAAACAGGAAAAGGGCAAGTACTTCCCTGGAAGTCTGTGGTAAATATTATGGTCACATTCATACAGCCACAACCCCAAAACAGCAACACCCAAAACCTTGAGTTAGGATTAAAAATCACAGAGGACTGCAAGGGCCTTGTTTATRGGGTTTTTGTTAGGCTTTGGGTTTTTTTAAGAAACTGCACATAACTATGTTGTTTAAAATGGAAAACTTTAGCTCAAGGCCAATCTCCTTGCCACTGGCTACCAACAGATCTTTGCTGAAAGGGATGAGGAGGATTGTTCAGAGGTTGTCACATCCTCTTCCTTTCCTACTCAGTGCTGTATTTGAATTTGAGTTGTTCAGAGTGGTTGCCAAGCCCCCTCTGCTCTGGGGTAGCATCTCTTTGGGGGTGTTTTGTGGGGTTTCTTTCTTCCAGTCTTCAGTGATCCTGCAAGCAAGTGGCAGTGAGGAAACCACTGTCCTGCTGTTCCCACTCTCCTCCCCTCTCCAGGTCCCCTGCAGCTGGTTCCCCACTCATCACTCTACACAACACATTTTCCTAGGWTCCTTCTCCTCTCTYAGAAGGCTGWTTCTCTCCCAGGGGTAATCACTTYAGGAATAGCCTTTTCAGGAMTACTCAGTCTTATTATCCATATACCTATGCTACCTGAACTCGTCAATCTCAGCACTTTTGGGAGCCCAGGATGCTGCTAAGAGAGAGGGGTTTGAGTTCAGTTTRCTCAGACCTAACTTCAGCTTGAGTTGCTACAGCACCATGGCTCTCCCAGAGTGGCCTCAGGCCAGCACCTCTAACCAGGGTCAGTTCAGGACATCACTGCAAGGGAAGACAGGACAGATGGTACTGTTGAACTACACTCAGAGTACTAAAACTACAAATACTGGTCTCAAAATGCCAGGGAAGTTGGCTCAGATCCAGCCAAGTGTCCCAGAAAAGCCATGAGTCTGCTACATGCAGTGAGACCAGCCCAGCTCCGGCTCCGGGCAGTTGGCTCTGCGTCACTCTCCAGTTGCTTCACTGGTGGCTCTAATAACACAAATCTGCTGGGCAGCAAATACACCCTGTTTGTCATCTGTAAGGCTTTTTACCTACAGAGGCAGCTTGGTTACTGGTTTTCTCCTGCCTGCCTGTTCTTGGGCACCTTGGAGTCAGTGTTGGGGTTGTTCAGTCTGGAGAACAAAAGGCTCTGGTGGAGACCTTACTGCAGACTTCCAATATCTACAGTCCCCCAAGAGAGCTGGAGAGRGACTTAGGACAACGGCCTGGAGGGACAGAAAAAGGGAGAATGGCTTCCCAGTGCCAGAGGGCAGGGATGGATGGGATATTGGGAAGGAATTGTTCCCTATGAGGGTGGTGAGGCCCTGGCACAGAGTGCCCAGAGCAGCTGTGGCTGCCCCTGGATCCCTGGAGTGTCCAAGACCGAGTTGGATGGGGCTTGGAGCAACCTGATCTGCTGSAAGGTGTCCCTGCAGATGGCAGGGGGTGGAATGAGATGGTCTTTAAGGTCCCTCTCATCCCAAACCATTTGGGATTATATGATCTTCCTCTAAGTGCACTACATTTCTGTTACCAACAGAGTTGGCCAGCACCAGACTTAGCAACCCCAAGGCTTTGTAGTGCTTCCCTGTACACCACTGCAAAATGGTGTACAGAAGCACATGCCTTGACAATTAACCCTATTAACACTCAGCTTCTTTCCCAGTAATAGACTCTYACTGATACATAATCAAGAAACAGTAATACAAAAMCAGTTCTTTGGTAAACAGCCAATAAACAACATAGATCAGACATTGCCCAATAACCAAGTAGCACCAGAAAAAAGGCTCATTCTTGTTTAACTTGAAATCAGTATCTGGTCACCAGAAAGCTCAGCAAATGCTCATCTTGACATGTTATGGGATGTGCAGATCAGGTACAACTTCACAAAACAGTGCACAGGGATGAGACCACAGAGACAGTGATTTGGTCTCAAACTCAACTGTAGTAAGGATTGACCTGGCAACTCTTCATGTTCACAGWACAGACCTTAAAGAGTTTTTTCAAGAGATAAAACAAACAGAACTGATGAATTATCCCCTCTATAGATCTCTTGGGTTAGCSAGAAGTAGAACAGAAATCCAGTACCTGACTGATAACCCTCTTCTTATTTAGACAGGATTTTTAAGGATTCTTTGCCAATTACCAAATACTTCATTTTAGAAGTRGGACACTGCTTTGAAATATCAACTTCACAGCAGCACAGAATGGCTGGGGTTGAAAGGGACCTCTGGAAATCACCCAGTTGAACTCCCTTGGAGTAGGGACACAGGAACCTGTCCAGGTGGGTTGGAATGCGTCCAGACAGGGAGACTCCACATCCTCCCAGGGCATCTGTTCCAGGGCTCTGCCACATTCAACATAAAGAATTTCTTCCTCATGTTGAAGTGACCCTTGTTGCATTTTAATTTATGGCCACTGGTCCTCATCCTGTTGCTGGGCACCACTGAACAGAGTCTGGCACCATCCTCTGACACCCCTTGCAGACAATTGTATGGATTGGTGAGATCCCCTCAGTCTTCTCTTCTCTGGACTAACCAGGCCCAGCTCCCATATCCTCTCCTCATCAGAGAGATGCTCCAGACCCCAAATCATCTTTGTGGCCTCCACTGGACCCTCTCCAGTAGCTCCTTGTCTTTCTTGTCCTTACGAGCCCAGAAGTAGACACAGCACCCCAGATGTGCCTCACCAGGGCCAAAGGGCAGGATCACTCCCTGACCTGCTGGCCACACTCTTCCCAATGTCCCCAGGATCTCACTGTCCCTCCTGGCCCCCAGGGTACACTGCCACTCATGGTCCACTTGTTATCCATCAGGATCCCCAGGTCCTTCTCTGYCCAACATGCTGTTGGTGCACAGTAACCTACAACTCTTCCTATCAGCTGAGAACAAGAGTTCATTAGTCTGACAAAGGTACCAGTCTGCTTTGRTGCAAGAGAAGGTACTGGAACATTGAAATTCCCAGCACAGTTGGGGCTTCACTGCCAAGATTTTGTGCAGGCACCAAAGCACAAATACTAGTTCCTTTACAACAGTGCTATTKCAATAGCTTTAATTTATGGAACATCAGGAGCTRRAAMYTYCMAGAAGACAGAAACCCTCTCTGGGGMMASAAAGGGGTTTAYAGGGTGAGAGGCAGAACACAAACATGTTTAGATTAGAAAGCCTGAAAACYAACCATCATTCCCAACATTCATTTMCAAMACATTTCAGATAACTGCAAGACATGCCCATGAAGAAGATCCACCATCTCAGCAGCTCCTCTGAATCCCTAACAAACCATACCTGTAAGGATGTTCTTGAAGGCTTCTTCTACATTTGTTGAATCCAAAGCAGATGTTTCAATAAAAGATAAGTTATTTTTTTCTGTAATAAATAAGAAGTGGTTCAGTTAAAAACTTTAGTAACACTTCATTTCACATTTACTTTGAGGTTTTTATCTTTTATTTTAGGCCAAATCAGCCAGGGCACAGTATCTTGGGTTACATGGAGGGTGCAACCAAAAAGTATGTATTCTGTTACTATCTTCCTAAGTTGTTAAAACAGGAGAGGCAATGTTCTTTATCTTCTCAGCCCTGGTAACACCCTCTGGGAAGCAGCAGCTCCTCTGTGGGCTATCTCTGCTAATGGGCCATCAAGGGCTCCCAGCATCACTCACAGAATCACCTCATCCCATTGTGGGATGCCCCGCCAGAGGGGAGGAACTGAACATTCCCACCTGTTATAAGCTGAAGCTTGGAACACTCTGGGGCACTACTTCCACTGGATTCCCAGAGGAGAAGAACTCGAGAAACACCACTGGACCTCCACAGATGGACCAGAACTTCCTTCAGGATCATCACTTCAACAACACCACATCCATCACCCCAACCCAACTGCAGCCACCATTTAACTGGGCTGTACCACCATCCTGACCAACAGGGTGGTAGGTTGTATCCTGACTTTGTCAGTGTAAGCTGGTGTTTCTGTATTATTTCCTTTATTTTAACTTCTTCCTATTAAATTGTAGTTTTGACTTGAARTCTCACAACATATTTGTGTGGGGTAAATTTCCCTGCTGATTTGCTTTCAAACTWGCACAGACAGTAATTCTTTTCTTTTCCCTGTTACACAAGGAGCACCTTGGTGCTRCAGTTCAGCAACATCTCCTTTGCCTACAGTGCAAGAACATTTTCCTCACTGCAGCTCTTGCTCAGTCAAGCAACACAAAGYATCATTCTCTTCTGGCTACAGATCACACCCAGAGGTACCCTGAGCAACAGCCCCAGTAAAAGTACAACAGCTGTCACAGAGTCACAATTCTCCCCTGCAGCCCCAAAAAGAGCAAGATGTACACTTTCCTAATCAGACCCCACTTCCAAATAACAATACCCCTTCTAACACAGTCTATTTTCTTCTTTCCTCTTGCAAAATATTTTTTAAATAAAAAATAAAGTGATTTTCACTCAATTATCCTACCTAGAATGGTTCTGTATCACCTGCCCAGGAAAATTTCAGTCATGGAGCTTAAACAGCAAGAATTAGACCATCACTAGCAATTTAAAACAGTCTTAGGAGAAGTCAGGGTCAAAARGTAAGAAGCAGAACCAAGTGATGAAAGAAATAGACTATCTGGGACAGCCACCAACTTGTTTTGCTTCTCTTAGATAAATGTCACTTCTCATTCATCTGAAAGTTTAAAGTGGCTTTATTACCCTCAGAGTACTCCCTTACTAGCAAACTTCAGAACCMATGTTTAAGCAAACCTTGGTAATATTTCTAAAGGTACTTTAAAGGTTGTACATTTACATTCCATCKCCGAGCTTGACAGCCACTCTCTCARGGCAAAAGAATATCTGACCAGTGCTCTGCCAGGTAAGGAAGAGAAAAGGAATGCAGTGGCAGCAGCTCACATAACCCACTTAATTTCTCTAACAAATGATTACTTTCAAGTCTGATGATTGCTGCCTTTACGTGAGACTAGATGACACTACTATATGTATCAGTGCTCTAGAGCAGCAACCACCCCATCTAAGGGAAGGTTCAGCATTCATTTGTAGCTGTCCACACTGATACYTATTCAGCAGCATCAGGTCTCTAGGAAGGAAGGAAGGATGTTTTGTGCTGTGATATTTTATATTTCTCTTGTGACATTATTTCAYTGAAATGTTGCTTACTGTTTCCAGCCTTGTTAGAGGAAGTGTTTAATCTTCAGCTATCAGGCAGCTCAAGGACAGCGTTTTAAAAACACCTACTACCACTAGATTTAAAAAAACAACAGAGAGCCGCAAACTAAAAATGACAAAAAACACCCCAAAAAAACCAAACCAGCCACACATGCTAGTTAAYAAGCCAAGATATTTTCATAAAACAAAACAACAATCCACCTTAAATGTCTTTTTTTCAGGGTCTGAACTAAAACTTGAGGTGAGACTTCAGGCCTGGGCAGAACAATGTGATCACAGCTGGCACCATGCCCACATGCCCCTGAATCCCCAGCCCAGCCAGGCCCAGTACMAACCTGCAAATGCCCGAGCCTCGTCGGTGGGCACGGCCCGGAGGTGGCGCAGGTCGCTCTTGTTACCCACCAGCATGATGACGATGTTGTTGTCAGCGTGGTCTCGCAGCTCCTTCAGCCAACGCTCCACGTTCTCGTAGGTGAGGTGTTTGGCAATGTCATAGACGAGCAGAGCCCCGACAGCACCGCGGTAATATCTGAAACCRTGAGGCACAGCCCTTCAGAGAGAGCTCTGTTCCAGCCACACCAAGAAACAGGCCACCTAGCTCTTCTAGATCTCTGCCAAACTAGTTGTGCTGATGCAAATACTATTGTTGGAGGTGGTTTTAAGCCTAAAACCAAGTTCCATTTTTTTTTTTTGTCTAATGTCATTTTAAAAATAATCCAGTGTATGTACCAAAATGCTGGAGAGCCTGCAAAAACTGGGACTGAAAATGTCCTGCCTGCTGAACAATGTGCAGGAAAACTCACCATTTCAGAATCAGTACTGCTTGGAGGTTTTTGTGAAGTTACAACCTAACTTTCTAYTAGGCAAAAAGCTCTTGGTAAAATGCCAGTATTTGTTCCTGATCCTTCAAATATCTCCTGTCCCTCCTACAAATTAAAGAGGGGACACTGGGCTATATTGTCACCTCTAATCCAGGAACATATTCTGCCCACACAGGGCRGGTTTGGTCCCATTTCAACACAAGCCAAGGGACCTGTATCAACAAAACTCTAACATACATATCTCTTTTCCATACAATCCTACCATTTCTCCTCAGTTCTGCCAGCACCTGTCTGAGATGTTGTTGAACTGAGTCAGGGCACCAAATCAACAGAAAACTATCCCTTTTCCCTGATGCTCAGTGTTCCCCTGGCCAAGCAGGCTGAACTGGCTGAGTGATGAGTTGAGCAGGAGACAGTGCCAGCACGAGATCACAGGACTGCAGCTGCATTGGCTCCCAGCAGTCAAACCTGTTGCTGTTTACCCAGACTAAAATCGCAGTTTTTACAGCAAGAAGAATAAGGGTCACAAAAAAATTTCTGAAAATCACACTAACGGTTCCAATTTGAAATTGCCACTTACATCTGCTTTTGCATCCCTTTCCCTATAGATTGCTCCCTTTGGGCTCCAGGTTCTCCTGTTCTTCTCCCACCTTGACAAAATTCCCCTTACCTTAAGTTTAATGGTTCAATCTGTGCAGGACTCAGAAGCATGTTTTTACCTTTAAAAACTGATACACATCTGTAATGTAACAGATCAGATAGATCTGGAGAACCAGGTCTGACCAAAAGGTTTGATTTTTRTCTTCTCCCAGATACTTTTGCCTGTGTAGAAACAGGTACACCCCAAGACACTCTGTGGATTACCAGGGTGCTGCAGGTGAAAGCATCTCACCCTCCAGGGATTGTGCTTAATGCTGCAGTCAGCACTACCACACTTGCCTTCCTACTTCCTGGCTATTCAATGTGTGCACTCATGGACCTAATTTTCAGGGCTGTGACTCATTTAAGGTCATTGAGATTTCAAGGGACTTTGTGGCTGCAGATTGTCCTAAAAATATCCTCAATCTCAAGACTGAGGGGGCAATAGAGACCAGAAGCCATGGGTGTTACAATAAGCCACCATGCCTAGACCAAAACTTGATACCAACAGTACCCAGCTTCCATCTGAAATGACACACACTCCACRTGATGAATACAGCACAGACAAAAAAACAAGTTACAAAACTGAAACAGAATTTCACAGAGTTTTGATTTAAGCTGTCATTTGTTTCTATAATGAGAATCTAAAAATTTCTTTCATTGTATTAATCAAGGCACACAAAAGTATTTCCTATCTTATGACTTGGATCCACACTGAAGTCTGTCATAATGACTTTGTCACATGTCCCACATATGTTTCATTAATTCTCTACCCATACATTTATCTGCAGCATYTCTGCTAGAATTCTGCTGAGCCAAGACACAGTACTCACGCTGAGGTAATGGCACGGTATCGCTCCTGGCCTGCAGTATCCCAGATCTGGGCTTTTATCGTCTTCCCATCCACCTGGATGCTCCTGGTGGCAAATTCCACCCCAATGGTGCTCTTACTCTCCAGATTGAACTCATTGCGTGTGAAACGTGACAGAAGATTACTTTTCCCAACTCCAGAGTCTCCAATCAACACAACTGAAAAGAGAGATGTTATTTTCACAATTAATTCCTTGTACCAGCACTGACCCCTCACAGGCAGTGCCCATCGGAAATGCACAGCCAGAGTAGAGACTCAGTAGAGACTTACATGGACTTTTCTGCACCTCAGACTTTACTATGCACAGCYTGCTTCTCTAGCCCCAGAAGAGCCCCAAGCTGCTTTGTGGTAATCAGCTGCCCAGTCCTCAGAGGTGAAAATGAGAAATTGCTRCAGCAAAAAAATCAAACAGTGCTATGGAGGCCACAACACTGCATCAGGCAGAGGTAAGAGATGCCCCTCACACACTCAACCTTTGGCACAGGAAGGCTGCAACCCACMTTTCAAGAAACACTACAGGCAAGAACATGGCAACAGGCCACCGGTGTACCCGACAAAAGCCTTTGTACCGTATGAATGTACTCCATTTTTATTAAAAAAACGAAAAACACAGTAAGTAAACCATTATTTGCAGTCCCGGTTGGAGTCATACAGGGTATTTTATTTCAGTCATTTAATTCATAAATATGTTCACCACAGAAAGGGGAAAATTGAAGACATTTGTTACTATGAGAAAGATACAAAGCAAAGCAGAACTTCATCCAGCAAAACAAGTCGTAGTAGACTGAATGAGAAGTAAGAGATGAGCTAAAAACCTCTGCCTCCACACACAGTGTTGCCATGTTAACAGAAAAATGTTAGTGCAGAGAGATCTTCAGCGCACAAAGCCCAGCTCTTCTGAAAAGAATTATGGAAACAAAGGTACATCTTGTGGCAGGAGGTTCCCTCTACTTTGGGGCTTATCAATGAGAGCAAGAAACAACTGAGAGAAACAAAGCTGAAGCAGCTGAGCCATCCTCCCTTTGGCTGGGCAAACACTGTATCACATACCCTTTGGAATTCAAGTGTCCTGGCTCAAGCAAAAGGAAGAAAGGCAGCAAGCCTCTGTGAGCTTTCTTCAACCTWGGGAATATCCCCTACTCCAGTTCTAAGTACAGATTTGATGATCTTCCTCATTCATGTAAGTTTTTCCTAGCATATGGTTACAGAAAAGTAGACATGGGCAAAAAACATTCCCAATTTCCCCCAATAGAGAAGAATCTTCTCATTGCACACTTCCACAATGAGCTCACCCATGTTCTCCCAGGGCCAAGGATCATACTTGTGTTTTACTGCTATTAGAGCTTTTCTCTGCTCAGGCCATTGTTTGAGGAAGCAGCTCTGGCAGCGCTGTGCTCCAGCTCACTGCCACCCCACCCCTGGAGCACATTCCCCGGCTGCTGCTGGACCCTGGCTCTGCTGCCACAGCTCCCGAGCTGCACAGGGGGATTGTTGAAATGCTTTGGACAGCCCTCCCAGCATCTCATCCGCCTGACAGCACAGACAGACAATTGTGCTAGCACAGCTGAACAGGCAAAAACATAACAGAGGCAGGAAGGGGCAGCCAGCACATCGTGGCAAGGCACCACAACTCCCCACCGGGAGAGCTTAAACCAGCTCCTCACAGTACTCTGCCCTCCCTGACAAACTGCCTAAACCATTTTTTAGGGTATGAGAACAGATGGATRCAMAAATATTTTATTACAAGTTCTTAYTCTAGGATTTTGTTATCTTTATTTTTCAAACAGCTTTTCATCACTAATTCCATGGGACMTTCCAAGAACATCCATCTTGCACAGGSATCTCCTGGCTGGAGTARGCTCTATCCTACGCCAAAGTCCKGACCATAACCWAAAGTAAGAACATCTACCACACAAGCTAGACTAGCTTGGAAAACCCGAGGATTCTAAAYTTTTTCRAAAGGGAGTAACCTTCCCAAGATTTTGCAGCTGGAGGAAGCACAGCCTTTCCAGGTCCTAGCCATCTCCCATGCTCTGGCATTTTAAAATTATCAGTTTTGGGGATAAACCATGCAAACTGCTYTCAGGTCATTAACGCCATCTGTCACTGGAGGAAAATTCCAGGGGTCCCCCACTCCTTTGGCTCATTACTCATAGGGTCCCTCCACTGGGCTCCCCCACATTCCAGCAATTTATAGAACAGTATTTTTTCAGAAGTTAAAGGAAGGCAAYCAGAATCCTAATTCAATAAAGAGCATTCTACCCTAAAGTTTCCAAGTYTTCTTATTAATAGTAAATCTTAAGCATTAAATGAGCACTTTCAGGAGAAAGATACGAAGACTGGAGGCCCCACATGCAGACAGAAGCCACAAATTTATTTTCTATGGGAGCTGAGCAAGAAGGCACCTTCAACATTCTGGACTAARTGATAACATCTTGGGAAAGTTTCTAAATTTGGTAACAGGACACCAMACAGTATTGCCTGTTCAAATTGAGAAGTCATGACAGAGTAGAAAACAAAGTTCCAAATGACAGTTAAGAGTCTGAATACTCCCTGAGCACATCTCACCAGAACTGATGAAGTCACTGTCCAAATGCCCCTAAGGGCCACACTGGTGATGGAAAGATTCACTGGTTTCATCTTGGAAGTGACATGAACCAGTAATTTGCACCAGCCATCATCAGAGGGCTCCAAGCACAGACAAGCCTCATGTTTATATCCTGAATCCTGMTTCTTCAGTCTTTCCTGATTTTCTATCTCCTCCAGCACCCTGTGCCACTGTGTGGGTTATCTATCACTACAGTACCCATTCATCAACTCAGACACCACCCTCACTCTGCTTCCTGTGTCTRCAACATCCAGAACTACAGCACAATCCCACCACCCAACACCTGCCCTGTATGTTGAGATCCTTGTGCTAAACAAGCCAAAGTCAGAATYAAAATTCCAGTGCCACACATCACTGGTAAGAAAGGGAAAATAAAAGCTCAAGTTTATGACAGAATTGTAAATACACTCATTTATTAATCTGGGAAAAAGAATATATATTTGTGAGCARTTAAGATTAAGGCTCCCTCTAGCARTGACCAYCYAASCAGAGTTTGTGATAAATCTGAAGTACATAAGGTTGCCAGATATTAGTGACTAATAGGATACGCATTTGTTTTTAATAACCACAGCCTTTGCTAGGCGGAGACTAATTAGAACAGTATAAATTCCCACAAAGGTAAAAGAAAGCTCTTTTTCCTATGGCTGCTTTTTCCTGCCTTTTTTTGTGAGTCAGCACACATCTGCACAACCTCAGATTTAATTTTTAAAATAAACACTGATAATAGCTAATCTTCTCAAAAGCAAAATTAATGTGCAGATCACATTTTAATAGGTATAAGGCTTCCAACAGCTTTTAATGGCTCTTCGAAGGTCTTAATTCAATTCAGATCAATGCATTCAAAACTCATCCTGGAAAGTCCCTGCTGTTTCATCATCCTGCTACAAAACTAACTGGGAATAGAGGCCCRAACTGCTGGCTTTGCTTGGGTCACATCACTGAACACAGCTACAAGCTCTTCGCAGCATCACTRCCCCACRCAGCCCTGCACGTACAATTTCACTTCTCCCCTCAAAGGCTGGCTCAGGCACTTTGGTAACAAATAGTATTTGGTTGTGATCAATAAAATAAGCAGTTCTGTTGGGACGCACAAAGAAGAGAGGGAAATTGGGAACAAAGAAGCTCTAGTTCAGCAGAGTAGCATTGACCATAATCACTCACATCCCCAGAGTGCTCCCAAACCTTAAGTTAGTCATTGCCTCTTGCATGCTGTCCTCTGGAAATAGATGGCAGGGGAAACAGTCAAGCCTCAAATTTAATTAAAAATAAATTCTCTCTCTGAGACCCTTCTGTGTCATTATTTCTACCTCTGACTGCTACACAGACTGATAGAAGAGAGTTCAAAAGCCATTTGTGTGGCTAAGAAGGGGCTAAACCACAAGCYAACCCAAGTCCTGAATATTATTATGGCAATTGTCCTTGATGTTTAATTCCACTACTGGAGGAAGCAGAAAGAAAAGAATGGGGAGTGGGGCCCACAGCAAAGCCCTCATCCCAYTTGGTCCCATTTATATTATTTCTTGTCTAGTCCCAAAAAGCCTCAAAGGAAGGAAAAGATAAGTAATCAAACCTGCAAAGAAACCCTTCTATACCTACTTATTTTGTAAAAAACCATCCATACAATGACCCCTCCCAAAAGATGTACAGAAAAGGACAATTCTCTCACCTGGTTTTTATTAAGTGCTACAAAGTGTGCCAGCATAACCACAGTACAGATCCTTGACCAAATGAGGTTGAGTCTCACTCCAGATAACATCAAAAACGCATTTCAAAGCAAGTATTTTTAAAAGACGAATGCAGTTCTCCTTACCTAATTGACTATTCATAGAAAGAAGAAAAGAAGTACAATTTTTAGGCTTTCAAGTTCTTGGCTATTRAACCACCTGGGAAACAGACRGTGGAATAACTTCAGAAGGAAACTACTTTAGACTCAGACAGTTTAGCATATTTTTACAGGCTGGTCCTCTGCTTTATTAGCAGAGAAGAAACAAGGGGTTTTTTTCCCCATTGTCTTCAAGACTGTAAAACAAATAAAGGAAATAGGCAAATACTATAAAATAAARTATTTCCCACAGACAAGTAATTGCTCTTTCCTTTGGTCCACAAGTTCACAATCACTGCTGCCCTTGTGAGGGTCCAGGTACAAAGAGCGTACCCTGACATCAAATGCCTGAGGAATTGTCACAGCACCAAAGGATCTCCAGAGCCCTCAYAGAGCACCATCGGCACCTTGCACTGCCTTTCCCAASAGTSAGCTCTTGGGATGAAAATCAGGTTTCAGCCACTCTACCAACAGGAGATTTGATGCAAAACAGGCTGGGAAACCAAAGGTGAAGGTGCTACAGCCACCTGCACCGCTCCTCGAGCCTCCCAGACAGAGCTGTGGGCTGCTCCAGGAAACTGGTCAGCCTGAGCCTCTGGACAGGCAAAAACCCGGCCTGTGAAGACATCCCACGGGACAGAAACCCCCGAGACATCCCACGGGACAGAAACCCCCGAGACATGCCAAGAGAGGACACCCACGGCGATGATCGCCCCCGGAGCCAGCGCAGGAGGAGCAGCACGGAGCCCTCACACAGCCCTTGACAGCCCGACATGTCAGGCGCGGTAAAACACCCATCGGCACAACCTCATTAACGCTGTTACAGTCCCAGGCTCTCGGTTCCGACGCCCAGCGGGGACCTGCGAAGGAGCCTCCATGGAAGCTTGTTTTTTTCAGCTCCGGCTCGACAGCGAGCGATCTCCGGGTAAGCACCGACACCGSCGGGCACAGCCCCGGCCCGCCCGCTCCCCGCCGCGGCTCCGGCCGCCCCCGGGGACCGCAGCCGCCCAGCTGCCAGCGCGGCCCACGCGGAACGGGCCGGGGCGGGGCGGGGCAGGCAGGCCCGCGCAGCTCTCCCGCCGCTCCCCCGGGGCATCCCCGGCGCCAGGCCAGGCCA